CGTAAACCATGGATCTGCTTTATAAATGTGTTTCTGCTTACTGACATGGCTTTCTTGTGACTGGAAGTCAGGATTTCCTTAGAGATTTCTGGCTGTCAAGTTTCTTGTTAACTGGCAGCAAGCATTGAGTTTTTTCTTTCTTTTTATTTTGTTTTGTTTTGTTTGCTCTGCCAGCTCTCCAAAGAATGAGGATTAAATAAGTTTCCAGGTTCTGAGAATTTTCCCCTTCTGACCTCTTTGCCATCCCTGCTCCCTTTGTAGAAGACACAGCATGAAGATCAGGAAGCAACTGTTTAGTTATTGAGGCCAATATGACTTTCTGTTCCAAGGGCACCATATTCTCAGGGAATTGTTCTTACCCAAAAGAACAGTGCCATATTTGTGAGCAATAAAGTACACTGCACAAACAAAAATCCAACAATGCTAGGGCTCCAAAATAACATCAAAACAACATACTGCACAGAAGAGAAGCACTGAGAGCTCTTCAAGCATGCCCTTCATTCCTGCGTGGGTGAGGTCTGCTCTCGTTGGTGGCTTATTGAGTTAGTGATCGAGCATGCAACTTGAACACTATTAGTTAATGGCTGTTGGGAATGTGTATGCATTGCCTAACTTCCCTTTTCAATTTTTTTTTTTTTACTACATTTTGAAAATACATCCTCCTGTTCAACAGCTTAATAAGATACATATAAACGTATCCCATGATTTCACAAGAAGCTGCAATGTACCACTAGGTGACACAGATACACACAAAAACACACATGCAAACATAGAATATAAAAGTTACAACCATAGAATATCCTAAATCTGACCCCTCCTGAAAGTTACATACAAGTGAAACATTTAACCTATAAGAGCTGTGATGAGTTAATGTTGCATAGTTTTCTTGATAAATTTCCCATAATGGCAAGAAGAAACAGATCTACCTTAAATATGTTCCAAACTCAGCCTATGAGAAGCTATTAAATCAGAGTCTCGACTTGCCAGGGTTGCTTGTGTCTGAATGATCTGCCACCTTTGTGAAACTTGTCAGTTTCACAAAGATGCCCCCCCCCACCCCCCATTTGAAGGGATGGGAAAGACAAAGTAATCTTTGGCTTGAGACTAATCCAAAGAGCTGAGAATGAAGATACCAACTGGAATTGTCCCTGCCAATAGACCGTAGTATGGAGTCAAAGACAGTATTAGGGTCAACCTGCTCCAAGTATTTCTAAAATTTACTTATTATCTTTCTTTTAAGGGTTTCATCATCAATAACAAACTGGCTTCAATTCTCATTGCATTATATACATACATTTCCAAAATTCCTAGGGAAAGAGTGCAAAGTAATCTCAAAAATAAAAAGTGAAATTTTACCTAAATTCCAACCTTTAAAATTAGATTTACATTTTTATCGTATTAACACACTTTTGATATTGAAATGAACCTCTATGACAGGAAAGTGCATAAAATTCTTCATGTGTTGAAATTGGCTTATAGTATTTCTGATACAAGCCATCCTGTGGATTGTGCTGTAGGTCTGAAGTGGTGCCTATATATCACTAACTGGCTGAGAGTTATTAAATCAAGTTACATAACAAGAGAAAAAAGAAGCACAGAAATGGAAAGTGGCCCCCAAAAGATTTGTGGTTTTGTCCAAATGACGTCACAGAATAAATTTCTCTATTTAACCAAAGAACGATTCTAAGGCACATATTACTCCATAAGCCATTGAAATGGAGTGTAGCACCCCTGGATTATTTATTTATTTATTTTAATTAGGTATATATGAAAGAAGAATGCATTTTGATTCATTGTCTACAATTGCAGCACATCTTTTCATTTCTCTGATTGTACATGATGTAGCGCTGCACCATATGTACAGTCATACATGTACCTAGGGTAATAATATCTGTCTCATTCCACCATCTTTCCTGGCCCCAGTCACATGTGGTTATGTAGATGTAAGTTAATTAAAATTAAGTGCTTACTAAAATTCAGTTCCTCAGTTGACTAGCCCCATTCCAGGCACTCAGTCGGCCTGTCTGTCCAGCTGCTGCCATACTGGAACCTAGAAATTTGGAATATCCCCAGTCCTGCTGCAGTCTCTCAGGCCTTGAGGTTGTTCAGACATCTCCCCGTGAGGCTGGCATCCTGGGAAAGCTCTTTGATTGATGTTGACTTTTTAGACAAATAGATTCAGGAGGCTTTTTTAGGGTTCTGTTTGAGTGCAAAGTGAACACCACTGCTTACTCTCTTAAAGATATGTAACATTTTATTGTTTTTATAATGTAAAAAATTATTGGAAGAATTTCACCAAGATCATACAATATGTAAAAGTGTTTTGCACTGGCCTCCATCACTTGTCAAAATATCTGGATCTAGTGTGGTGCTTCTCAACTCTTCTACAAATTTGGGGGTGATATAAGGAAACTTTGGAAACAACAATATTCAGCAGGGTTTTAAGACTCTAAGATTAGAAATTCCAACAGATTAAAAGAAAAATCGTTTTTCCTGTGAATGTATTCAAGGTTTTCCTGGAGCACAGATATTCTAATATTGAAATATCATGATAAATGCCTACTTAGTAATGTTTTAATTTGCATTACTGTTTAATTTGTTCATAATTATGCTATTTGGTAGTAGCATCATTTATGCAGTATAAAGTAGTTATTAATGTTATATATCCAAGATACTGCAAAAAGTGTTTGCTTTGTTATAAGCAGGGACTTTTCCTTGATCCCTTTGTGTTCTATTATCCTCCTGTAGGAAGGTCTTTCAGAAATTCCTGTTGGAGGCTTTTCTGTCGCTTGCCAGCTAGGTTCTGCATGGTTGAATGTTGCTGAGGACCCTCAATAGGGAACCCCAGTAGAGCTTTAGAAGGAAAAGCTCTGTAGCTTAGTGGAACTTTTCAGACCAGCAGCGTCTCCCTTCTGTGGGATATTGTTAGAAGTGCAGACCTTCTGGGCCCACTCCAGACCCTCTGAATCAGAATCTCTTCTCTCAGTGGTTTCAAACTTTGTTGATCACAGTAATTACCTGGAGAGCCTGTTAAAGCACAAATCCCTGGCTCTTCCCCTGAGTTTTTGCCCAGTTCAAAGTATGGTGATGCCTCTGTGGATTAGGTGCCTCCCTTTGAAAACCACTGCTCTAGGGAGAACTAGTTCATATTTGGAATCACCTGGAGAGCTTCCAAAAAGTGTGATGCTTGGGTGGCACCTTCAGAGATTCTGATTGAATGGCCAGGGCAAGTCATAGGTATTGAAATATAAATATATATATATTGTATTAGCTCCCCTGATAATCATAATAGGCAGCCAGGTTTGAGAAGCCCAAACTACTGGGAGAGAAGCTCTGAGCTTCTCCAGGTAATGCTGAACCCTCTCCCTGGGGATAGGGGAGCACAGGAGTTCTGCACAGATTGTGCGCCAACCTCTACACATAAAATCCCTGATTGCAAAAAGCCTGGGACCAGCCTTATAAACCACTTCTTCATTCATTTCACAAATATTCCCGGATTCTCTGCCATGAATCAGGCCCTGTTCTGGTTGCTGGAGACACTTTCATTTTACTTCCACTCCTACTGTTAAGCTCAAAATAGTTGTATGGATCGAGATAAATAATGCATTTATGAAAAAATATTTAATGATCCTATATAAGTAAATACATATAAATAAACACATACATACACCCACATTTTGTAAAAAGAATGTCTTTCAACAACAGGTTCATCTCTCAAACCTCAATGGTCTTAACAGAGGATTTTGATGTTGCTCAATTAACTTCTCAATCTTCAATTGTATTTGACATCCCAGATACAATTTGGAAAGCTGTGTATGTAGGAATGAAAGTGCCCAGCCTATCACTTGCCAGTTGCCATCCCCAAAGGGTGGACAGGCATAATTGAAACTTTTAAGGGACAGCATCTGCTCATCTCTCCCCCTTTCCTCAGCTCACAGCTCTCTCCTCCCCACCCAAGCCACACTCCTCATTGCAAACCTTTCTTCATAGCTTCCCTCTCACTCTTTGTATAATCCTACCCCCTTTTCACACCAGTGGACTCCCAAAAGCATTCTGCTCCCCTGGGGAAAGCCTGGAAGATCGCAGACCTCCTGCCCAGAAGTAGTTGACAATACAGTGTTTTCATTCGAATGCAAATTTGTCTCTGGACCAGATTCAAGGAAAGTGCTTTCCCCTCCAACTGTCTTCCCAGCTCCACCCCAGCCCTTGTGGTCTTTTGTGTTGTTGTAAATAAATGAGAGGCAACTGGCTTTCAGTTGGAAGGCACAGCTGCAGGGGGGCTCTTAAAAGGAGCTAGATGCTGGAAGATTTGGAGCCCAGTGTTAGAATCTAGAAAAGGGAGGCTTTTGAGGCTTTTCCTTTGCAATTGCTCTGACTTGTCTAGAATTTTTTTTTCTTTTCTAAATACTGAAAAACTAAGCATATTTCTCTAGCTCTATATTTTTGCTCCTCCTGTAACTTTTCTTGTCTTAAAAAAGAAGAATCCATTCAACAGTAGCAGCAGAATAAATCCTAAGTATGTTTATTCTTGATGTCTTCCAGATAAGTATGCAACTTGGCCAATTTTGGAGGTTGAAAGTGTATCCTAAGATGACGGGGTGGGGGTGATATTTAGTGCCTGAATTCCTCAGTAAAAATAACAGTTTGGGAGTGCATTCAGGGCGATCACGATTGCCCGGTTGAATGGCCTTTTAAACCCGTTATGTGGCTTATGCCATGCCTCTTACTCCGGAAGCACCCCAAAATGTAAGGAGACACATGTCTCCTTAGCCAGACGTGACTCCCACCCTCCCGTCAGCAGGCCTCTGCTAGCTGGTGTCTTTCTGCTGGGAAAGGAACCTGCTTGGGAAGATTAGGGGGCGTGAGTTCGCGTCTCAGTGCGGGCGCAGCCTGGCTCCTGAGCGCTCAAGGTGCCCAGCCCTGCTGGGGCCGGCCTGGGCCGGGCGGGCCTTTGCTTCTCCCTGGCTAAGTGCGCGTGTTCTCTCCTCTCCCGGGCACAGGGCACGACGAGCCGCGCTGGCCACCTGACGGGGCCTGAGCCCGCGCCGCCGCCGCCGCCACGGGAGCCGTTCGCGCCCAGCCTGGGCAGCGCCTTCCACCTGCCCGACGCGCCGCCCGCCGCTGCCGCCGCGCTCTACTACTCCAGCTCCACGCTGCCCGCGCCGCCGCGCGGGGGCTCCCCGCTGACCGCGCCGCAGGGCGGCTCGCCCACCAAGCTGCAGCGCGGAGGCTCGGCCCCCGAGGGCGCCGCCTACGCCGCGCCGCGCGGCTCCTCGCCCAAGCAGTCGCCCAGCCGCCTGGCCAAGTCCTACAGCACCAGCTCGCCCATCAACATCGTCGTGTCCTCGGCCGGCCTGTCCCCGATCCGCGTGACCTCGCCCCCCACCGTGCAGTCCACCATCTCCTCCTCGCCCATCCACCAGCTGAGCTCCACCATCGGCACCTACGCCACCCTGTCGCCCACCAAGCGCCTGGTTCACGCGTCCGAGCAGTACAGCAAGCACTCGCAGGAGCTGTATGCCACCGCCACCCTCCAGAGGCCGGGCAGCCTGGCAGGTAATGGGCGCACGGTTACCTGGCGCGGCTCACCAGAGCGCAGTGGTGGGGGAACTCGCAGGCTTGATGCAAGCCACCCGGCTTGAGTGAAAGTCAAGGTGGGCGTGTTCGGGGCCAGTTTTCACTCTTTGCCGGAAACTGACCATCCTAGAATGAGCCCCTTGGTGTCTTCCTACAGTGTACCTATCAGTCACTTCTAACTTTGGAAGGAATGTGGTCTCTCAGTCTCTAGCATCTGTCTCTCACTTTTCTGTTTCCTCTCCCTGGTTTGAAGACTAAAGTATGAAAACAAGACAGTTTTAGCAACGAGACCTGTTGATTTTATCTAGGAAAAAAGCAAAGCAAGGAACAATCACAATATTAATAGAAATGTCTCCAGTTGTCTGTGTCTACTTGTTGAAGAAAGTAAGGGATTTTCCCAGAGCAAACTAAGTAGGTTTCAGTGTTAGAGTAAAGTAACCAACAGCAAAGTACCTTCCAATCCCTACCTGCCTTTTCTAGGAAAGGGGAGGGGGCACTGGGGGAAAAGAAAACTGCTCTTTTCTGCCAATTCAGAGGTGACATTTCTGTGGTGGTTATGCCCATCAGAGACTAGGCTGAGCGTGTGCATCTCTGCTGTTAGCACCATATGCTCAGCTTGAACAGGCACTGTGATTGAAAGACTAATGCTTCTCTCCTAAAACACCTGACAAGTAACCTGGATTTATTGCTGATTTTTTCCCTTATAGAAGTATTTGGTAATTGTGTCACTCTAGTAACAGATGCTGTGCTCATATGTTTCCTTTCTTGACACAAATAGATGACTGGGAAGATAAATAGGATAAAAAAGGAACTTGTTGCAGGCACGAGGCAGGTGGCCAAAGCCTTCTTTAATTCAGCACAGTAATTGCCAGTCTGGACTGGCCTGGCTTAACAGGATGCCGGCTGGTATTTGCTGCCCCAAAATTGTGCTAGGTATGTTTACTGAACTGAAAATAATCTCTCTCACTCACAGCCTGTCCCCATAAAGTAGAGCTTTGGAGAAAGATAATCATTAATGCCAATCCAGTGCTAGAAACAGTATTTCAACAGTGTAGAGATTCCAATCTGGTTGGAAGAGGCATCTAGAAAAGAGGTACCAAAACTTGGTTTATGTAAGTTTATAAAATATTTTTCTAGATCTTGTCAAGGAGGGGGAAGGTGGGACAGCTGTAAGAGATGAAAGTTTATGACACCCTCCCAGCTACTGAGAGGGGAGGAAAGAGGCTCAGGGAGTCCCAGAGACTTATAAAGACCATTTCATTTCCTGCATTTACCAGGTGAAAGAAATAGGAATCTTAGCTTTCATCTCTTCCTCCCACTGGTTTTGTGTGGTGGATATTTGCATATTCCACTATATCATTTCCATGAAAATAGGGAGTGTGACCACATGGCTGATTACATTGAGTGTGGAGGAGAGGATGAGGGAGTGGGAATGGAGTAGCATAGCTCCTGATATCATTGATTTGAAAGATGGTTTTAAAATATATACATTGTGAAAATAGCTTGAACTTTATTGTCTGCAATGGGTGTTTTGTTTGCTGTGTGTATGCACATGTATGTGTGTATCTGTGTATATCTGTGAGTATCCACATGTATGTGCAGTAGGTTGGTTATGGGTAAGGAAGTGTTCTTGGCCAGAAAGAGAATTCTAGTTGACCAGCACATTCCCATGTGCCTTCACTTCTCTCCACATTTCCATCTGTTCCTCAAATTTTCTGGCCATATCTAATTTTTGCTACCTGGTGAGAAAAAAGAAATCCAATATGCCATTGAAGAGTCTTAATTTTAGAGCTACAATGGGCAGTTTAAATGTTTGCATTTGTTTAACATGCATACTTTTTAAATATTCATCTAAAGTTTTTTCTTCATGCAATTTGCTGCTGGTTGTTTTTGAGTTGACAAATATTCCATAACACTGTACAAGCACTTAGTTTATATAAAATTATATGTTGCTCAGGAGAGGGATGGGCAATATACTGATGGTATTGATGATACCAGGAACTTTGTAGCCTTGAGACTCTGTGCCTTCATCCCATTGTGTGTGCTAGAGAATATTCCAGGCAGTATCAAGTTCAGAGCCCCCCAGTTTGCTAATTAAAAGAGCACAATTATGTTGAATTGAAAAACCACTTTTGTGTTTATAGGGTTGTGATTGGGGAGATCTGTCACGGGTAGCTAGGAAGTGTGAATACATGATAGCAACTTTCCCTAATGATTCATTTATTTCATAATTTTTATCATGTGTCTTTTATGTACTTCCATTGATGTAGATCCTGGAGATACAATATCAACTGAAACCTCTGGCCTTGGCAAAAACATCAGTAAAATAAATACTTTTGATAACGTGGTCAGCAATGTGTGGCTTGGTAGGGTGGCTTTAATTACAAGGTAACTTTTGAGTCTGTTGTGAATAGGTGAGTGAGCTGGCCCTATGGAAATCTGAACCAAAGGAAAACTAAGTTTAAAGGCTCATAAATGGCAGTATGTCTGGTGTGTTTGCGAAAGAAATGGGGGACACGGGGGTGAAGACATAACAATGCTATGAAGTCAGGAAGCTGGCCACTGGGATGGGGGTGCAAAGCCAGATCAGGAAGCCCTTGAAAGTCTTGCCAAGGACTTAAGGATGCTGGCTGTGCTACACCCCTGGGAGCCATTGAGGTTTGCAGCAGAGACTGACACATCTAACATAGTTTTTAAGTGGCTTACTCTGGCTAATGCATTAAGAGTAGATTTGGCTATCAAAGGCAAAAATCAAGGCTGTAAGTTGGAACTGGTTGCAATAATAATTATGGGGCAGGCCAAGGTGGTTGTGTTGGGGGTGATGAGGAACTGTGCAAACATAGTTGCACATACATGAGCCTACAGAATTTTCTCATGGACTAGGTGATTATGGTAAGGGAATGGGGACTTGATGCCTCCAACCCACAACCAGAAGAATGAAGTTGCTGTTGACTAAGTTGGTTGGGTTGCTCTGCAGAGCTGGGTGTGTTGGGGGATGATGGTGATACATACTGAGATCCCAGTATTGACAGCTGTCCATCAGAATCAAAGTGCACTGGTTAAGTTGAATTGGATCAGAGTTTTTTCAAGGAACTTGCTTTGTTTAGCTACAGAATTTCCAGAGATTAGAAGTTCTGTCTGAGGATCTCAGTCATTAGTTACAGAGGGCACTTGGTCAGGAAAGACTTTTCTACATTTTCTGTTAGCTCTTCCTGATGGCCAGACTTTATAAAGTCTGACTGGAGATTTCAGAGTTCTAACTCTCTGGGGAAACACCACAGTCGAGATTAAACCTAGAAAAGTGTAATTTCTCAGTTACTGGAGTCAAAGATCTCGCTGTAGTTTTACTTTTTCTTTTCAGTAGTTTTTCTTTTCATCAGACAGTGATGTCTGTGTTGAAACCCACTTAACCTCCTAAGATCCCCCTAAAACCGGGTAGCATCTCCTACAAACTTGTTTGTCATTGATTCATTATAGAGAGGGCCATAACAGTATCTACTCATAATTTAGAAATAAATAAGGTCATATGTATGAAGTGTGTGTACATTTTATGTTTCAGTAAAAGTTAACTTGCATTTTTTGACGATGTTTACCAACCTTGGGTGTGCAAGGAAGAAGTAGTCCACCTTTGCTTTAGGTACAAAACAGGTTCATCAGTTTCAAAACATGCTACTTTCTGTGTTGGACATACAAAGATAAGGGAGGCATTATCCCTGTGTCCCAAAGACCTAATTCCCATTTTTAACCAAATGCAGACTGGGACAGAAGTTAGTTACTGGGGAAGCACCTGAGGAGGCATCCAGGTGTGCCCAGTAAGCTTGCTTCAGGCAGCAGTCCCAGAGCCCAATTGAAAAGAAGCAGCTGGAATCAATTCAGAAAAGTTGAGGTGAATGTGGTAAGGGGCAGCAGAGAGATGACCAGCAGATCCTTGTTTCTTGAGCAAAGATGAGTGGCAATGGCTTGTGAGAGACAGAGGCATAAGAGGAGTTATGGGCAGTGGGTCCACACTAGAGGGCTTATAGGGCTTGTAGCATCCTCTTTCCACAAAGTAGGGAGTGACTCCATTTGCATATTAAAAACTTCTCAGAGTGGTGCCCAAGATGGATATACAGAGAAAAAAAAAAGTTAGGGAAACAGAAAGCCATCGAAGTAGCCCTTTTCTGCCTCTGGATGTATTTACTAAAACTCTCTTTCATTTGTTTTGAAATGGGAGAATTCAACAATCACTTAAAAATGGTAGAGGGAAGAAGGCTAGATAAAGGACCTAACCTACTTTTTATGTTGTTCTCTGGAGCCAACAGGTTGCCTGATTTTAAAAATTAATTAAGTTAAATTTTATTCATTTTAATGAGCGAGTATTTAATAATGAATAAAACTATGTCAAAAACGCATGGCATTGTAAAACATTTGCTATGCGCCAGGCACTATGCCAGACACTTGCAAACTGGGTCTCATATGGTTCTTAATCATTTAATGAGATAAGTGTGTCTTTTTCCCCCATCCCATGGATGTAAAAGCTGAGTCTTAGTAATTTGTTCCTTGCCCAAATTTACTTGTCTGGAAGTGCGATCTAAACTTAGATCACTTTCAGTCCAGATTCACCATAGTCTTAAATGCATATGATAAACGAATATATGGAACATATTTTTGCATCAGTGAAGAAAAATACCAAGGATGCAGAAATATGATGTAAGTTTTTTTTTTTAACATATTTAAATAGCTGGTGACTTTGAAGAAAGCATTTCAAAAACATGTCAACCTTCTATCAAGTGTGACCTCAGTACCAATTTTTGTTTGGTTTTTGAAGACAATGATAGGATTCTTTCTTTTCCAAGTTTAGAGCAAAATTAATCCTGTTAGAAATAGAAATCTGAGTTGTAAATATGAATTAAAGTTGTCAAACATCAGAAAGCCTGCTTGACTCAACTGAGAACGAAACGTCACTCTTTAACCCATGATTTTAACTAAAATTGGCCTAA